AAGTCCTAAGTACTTATATTTGCTATTCAAAGTTACTGTTATGTAACCACATGAAAATTTATAATCGTTAATACGGATGGAATTATTTCTAAAATGGACTATGTTAGTTTTGTCTTGATTAATTTCGATCTTCCACTTTTTACACCATTTATTTAAAACATCTAGCATCCGTTGCTTCGAATTTTTATCGGGGGCAATGAGTGCAATGTCATCAGCATACAGTAGTATGGAGATAATACACGATTCAATATCTATACCGCATTTCAAATCATTAATATCTTTTGCTAAATCATTTATGTACATAGAAAAAAGTTGTTGGCGAGGCATTACAACCTTGTTTCAGACCTTGCTTCATATCCATGGGTGGGGTTAAAACACGATTTATTCTAATTCTACGTTCATAGTTAAAATATAAAGATTTGATAGCATTTAAAAAACAACCATCTATACCACAATGTTCTAGCGTAGCCCATAAAAGATCCCTGTTCACGCAATCACATTTTTTTCCATATCAACAAAACATACAATAGTGGATTTTTTCTTGATCTTTCTGTTATTCAAAACAGAGTATAATAGATACTGGTGGTCTAAGCAACTTCTGTTCTTTCTAAAACCGTTCTGTTCATCTGCTAGTAATTCATTTATTTCTAACCATTTTGATAACCGATTTTTTAAAACAACGGCATAAATTTTACATGGGATTGATATAAGTACTTTGATACAATGTACACACTACAGTGCTGTAATACATGTCGTGCTTGTGTGGACGCGCGGGTTAGGAGATCTGTGTCGTGTTGAGGTCATGTGTTTTCTTACCGAGATATTACATATAATCTGTATATGTACATACAGGGGTGTCACACAGATAACCGGTCTAGCTGGTAATCCCTGTAATCCCTATTACCCACACAGTTACCGGCGTGTAATGTGACAATGAAGGAGCCTATTAGATTTAATACCATTATACGGGATTATCGTTAATCTGGGCAGGGTTAACTTTAAATGTGTAAGGGTAAAGTAATAGTTACAACGAATAAAACAAAATTGGATCTTTCTATTCCTTTGCCCCAAACAATTCCTTTCATATTGACCGATAGACATGTTTTATTCCTACCTTTCAGCCATGAACATGTGTTTTAGTAGCAATAATTCGTGTATTATAAACGCTAACCTATCTCGTATTAAAAGACAGTTAAACATAGTTTAATACTTAGCCTTTTTAGCTTCCTTATCATCCTCTTTCTTCGTGTGTAAGTCGCTATATAAAAACTACGTATTTCAGTAGCACACTCCATTCCTAAGAAGAAAGCTGCCCCATCATAACCACGTGGTTCAGCCAAACGCTTCCTCATCAGAACTGCTTCGTTCAGCCAAACGCTTCCTAATCAGAACCGCGTGGTTCATCAGAAAGCCTACTCATCAGAACCGCGTGGTTCAGCAGAAAGGATCGTCATCAGAACCGCGTGGTTCATCAGAAGGCTTTCTCATCAGAACCGCGTGATTCATCAGAAAGCTTCCTCATCAGAACCGCGTGGTTCATCAGAAAGCTTCCTCGTCAGAACCGCGTGATTCAGCAGAAAGCTTCCTCATCAGAACCGTGTGGTTCATCAGAAAGCTTCCTCATCAGAACTGCGTGGTTCATCAGAAAGCTTCCCTGTCAGAACCGCGTGATTCATCAGAAAGCTTCCTCATCTGAACCGCGGGGTTCATCAGAAAGCTTCCTCATCAGAACCGCGTGGTTCATCAGAAAGCTTATTCATCAGAACCGCGTGGTTCATCAGAAAGGATCCTCATCAGAACCGCGTGGTTCATCAGAAAGCTTCCTCATCAGAACCGCGTGGTTCATCAGAAGGCTTCCTCATCAGAACCGCGTGGTTAATCAGAAAGCTTTCTCATCAGAACCGCATGGTTCATCAGAAAGCTTCCTCATCAGAACCGCGTGGTTCATCAGAAAGCTTCCTCGTCAGAACCGCGTGATTCAGCAGAAAGCTTCCTCATCAGAACCGTGTGGTTCATCAGAAAGCTTCCTCATCAGAACCGCGTGGTTCATCAGGTTTCCTCATCAGAACCGCGTGGTTCATCAGAAAGCTTCCTCATCAGAACCGCGTGGTTCAGCAGAACAAACAGAAAGCTTCCTCATCAGAACCGTGTGGTTCATCAGAAAGCTTCCTCATCAGAACCGCGTGGTTCATCAGAAAGCTTCCTCATCAGAGCCGCGTGGTTCAGCAGAAAAAACAGAAAGCTTCCTCATCAGACCCGCGTGGTTCATCAGAAAGCTTCCTCATCAGAACTGCGTGGTTCAGCAGAACAAACAGAAAGCTTCCTCATAAGAAGCACGTGGTTTAGCAGTAACTTTCCTTATTAGGACCGCACTGATCGTTACATGTAGTAACTTTCTTCATCATAACCACGTGGTTTAGCAGTAAGTTTCCTCTAAAAAAACATTTGGATCGTTTCAAACTGCAGAGTAAGTGTACATGTAGTTCAGTTTATGAATTCTAAACAGATTCAGATTGATTCGTGATTGAAATCAATGGCATATTTGACTTTACTTTTCGATAGAAAGGTGGGATTTCATACTGGACGAAATCTAGTTGAATTTAGAAGTAAGAATGTTATCGCCATTTAAGATAATAGTAGGATTATCACGACAATCACCTGTGGTACATTTTACCAGTCTCGAGTTCTTGTCAAGGGATCGGAGTGCAATTCCGGGATCAGAGTGTGGCCCAATGATCAGAGTGCTTGCCCCGGGATAAGAGTGCTTGCCCCGGGATAAGAGGGAAGTCCCCGGGACTAGAGTGCGTACGTTGGATCAGAGTACAGTATCGGGATCACAATACAGGCCCCGGGATCAGCCCGAAGAGCAGCGCATTGGGTCCGGGATCATGATATAATCGATAATTTAGTTTAGTTTTCGTCTAGAAGTGATTAACGATGCCGGATCTTTATACCACTAAACCGTGAAGTTTATCTACGTATACATATGTATTATAATTCTAAAAGTGTTGGAATGATTTATGGAATCTATATCGAATTTGTATCGCTTTATAAACCTGATAGACTTCGGTGTCAGATCGTATAACCGTACATTGGGGCTATAGGTACCCGTTAAACCACATGTATTATTTACTCGGCAGGACAACAATAAGTTTAATTCGATTTTATGAACCTTTAGAAAAACTGTCAATTAGCGGGTAAACTGTTGCTGATATAGTCGAAGTACGTGCATTAAGTCCTTTATACTGACATACCTAAAGATGAAAACCGATCTTTTTAATTTTTGCAAGGCTTCGATTTCATTTTTTAGGAATAATGTCTCCAATCTCCAATAGAACAAAGCCAATGTTCTATGGCAGCGATTGTAACCAGATAATCATATGTCACAGTGTCTGGATTACTTAGTATCAAAGACTGGTAAATTTGACTGGATGGTGTAAGTGTGTTAAGTTCAAGGCGAGCTTGATAATCTGTGTCACGGACCGCATACAATGACCGTCGTTGAGATCGCTAGCGAGTGCACAATGCGTAAACTGACCACATTTTCAATCTAATAACTGATTTTTGACGAGGATAAAAGTTGTAGTTTAAATTACTATCTATGTTCGTCATAAAATTAACACGCGAAATTTTAGTTGTCGTCATGTGCATTTTGTGAAGTTATACATGTATCGTTTGTGAGAAAACAAAAGATACGAAATTGCACAATCTAGGCCTCTATATTTTCTTTATTCTCTGCCCTGCTCCTTCTTTCCGTTGGTATCTGCTGATTAACCTGGTACCGCAATAATAAAGTGGCCAGTCATAATACCGTATCTAGGTGGTGATATTTCATTGAGATATGTACATGTGTAAAATAAGACTTCTTACAACTAAATATATCTCTAAAAACAGCAGCATCAAACCATATCCAAGAAAAAACAATGAGAACACTCAATCTTTAGCAATACATGTCACAGGGACCTTAGAATATTCTCAGGTCCCTGTGCGATATTGGTCGTACATGTAATTAATAAAAACGCTAGACTTTTTGAAATTAGCGTCTCTACGTGTTTGCTCATAATATAGAAATTTAATCTTTAATATCTTAACTGTATTTTTTATTTTATTTTGATTACCTTTTTTGACTGCCCACTTAAAAAGCAAATTAGTGCAAATGAAGGTCGGGCCGAGTTTAGTATAACCAGCGTCCTTTCTCCCCCGTACAGTATATAGGATTGTACTTCCGTTCACCTTTAACTCCATGACTTTATGTGGGAAACTTATCTTGGTACATCAATGCTCACAATTCTTGTTCACACCTACACGAGCAGATGTTTGTAGGTGACGACTGATACCGTTATATCACGTTATTGATGGGACTTTAATAGTGGTTCGCGGTCTGACGTAAGTCGTTAAGTCTAATTTAAATGTACAACCCTTTGCCGATACGTATCTTAGGTTTAAACATTTCAATAATTTTCTCAAATGTATCCCGAGTATGAAATTCTCGGAGTCGTAATTGATTTTTGGATACAACGTGATAATTATCAGGGGTGCACGGATATGAACTTGAGGTGATTTAAGACGCTACCTCACAGGTGTGTGACGTCATTGTCGCTCTGTGTGGCCATCTTCAAGTCACCAACGTCACAGGAAGTGGGTCTCAGACCAAGGCAATTGATGAATGGGGGAGAATTCGTCACTTTAAAATTCTAGTTTCTATAAAATACAGTAAACGTTATATCAGACACATATAGCCAGACATTTTGCACTTGTTAAATAATAAAAAAAGTCGAAGGAATTTGATAAATTCCTTCACACTATTTACTTACCAGAAAACTGTAAACTATTTCATTCTTCAGCTATTACGTCAATGGCTGTTCGGTAAGTATGACAACTGAACACTATTAAGTATAATACATTCCATTATATTTGCTGTATTTGTAGCAGACAGTACCTAAAATATTTGTAATTACTGCTTAAAAATGATAAGAATGTTTCATTTGTGTTTTCCCAGAATGCCGCAAGTACACAACCGGAAGTTGTCGATGATGGCTGACAATAGTGCCTTTAATAAGAACTCTCGGTTTATGGCGACCAACCGTATGACTGAGGGGAGCAAGAAGCGGATCCGTGCCTTCAATTATGTTGAAAACAGACTTAAGGGAATCAAATTAAGGTTTTTCGATCGTCACGCGGAAATTGACCTAAGGCGCCGGGAACGCGAGCGTCAAGTTATTATGGACAGCTTAAAACGCACTCTGGCATACAAGCTCGTGGTGGAGAAACACAACCTGACGCACGCCGTCGACTACCAAAAGGCACTGGATGATGATTACTCGGGCACAGCGCTCCGGCATGAAGTCAAACACATGGTAGAGTACATGAAACCGGATCAAGTGCGTGAGAGAAAAGCCAAGGCTCTAATCAGCGAAAACCGTCGACGATACAACAGGATCATACAACGAAACAAGAATTCACTGGATCTCATTTGTCCACCAAAACGTACGTCTAGATATTTGTTTGATGAAGATGTGCTTAACAAAAAGGGCGACGACAATGATGATAATAGTACGAGAGCCCCGTCTACAGCGGAACCGAGTCGCGCTGGTGACATTTTTAAACAACGTTTGCCTACGAAACCACTACTTCCGCTTAAAAAGCAAGCCATCACACGCTCCTTTCTTTTGGAGAATGCCCAGAAGTCTATGGACGTTATGGACAGTAACCCGTCACTCACTAAAGCGCCGTACGATCTGCCCCCTGTACAGCTTCACAAAAGGTTACCCCCCGCGATAGCTGTCCAGGCGTGAAAGACGCGATCGTACTACCAATCACGTATATATGACGTACATTTTGTCTATCACTTCGGCTACTACCTGTAGCCAATGCCACACACTGAATTGGTTTAAGTAAGCTGTATGTATTTCCGTTCCAACTGTTACCGGAAACAACTTGTAACTGTTTACAGTTTGAAATCATAGATTCTTGCCTCGTTTTCGTATGTTTCGTTTGCCGAGGAGTGTCAGGGACGTAAGTACAACTTCCTAATTACAGCTAAACCTGTGTTTGACCTATCCGACTAGAATGACTAATATGGTCTGTCCAACGGGGTGTCGGATAAGACCGGTTTATGATATGTATTGTTACATGATTACTCGCTCCTCCGTAGGGAGGATCGGGGTGGATGTGGTCTTTGAAAACGGAATATGTGGTTGTGAGTGGTATCAATAAGCCACAAAGACAGGTAGTGTGGGTTGATTCACAAAAACAGGCAGTGTGCGTTGATTCACAAAGACAGACAGTGTGCGTTGATTCAAAGACAGACAGTGTGCATTGATTCACAAAGACAGGCAGTGTGCGTTGATTCACAAGGACAGATATCAGTGTGCGTTGATTCACAAAGACAGATAGCAGTGCGCATGGTATCACTCAGCCACAAAGACCGGCCGTGTGCGTTGATTCACAAGGACAGATATCAGTGGGCGTTTATTTAAAAAGACAGAGAGCAGTGTGCATGGTATCCCCAAGCCACAAAGACAGGCAGTGTGCGTTGATTCTCAAGGACAGATATCAGTGTGCGTTGATTCACAAAGACAGAGAGCGGTGTGCATGGTATCACCAAGCCACAAAGACAGGCAGTGTGCATGGTATCACCAAGCCACAAAGACAGGCAGTGTGCGTTGATTCACAAAGACAGATAGCAGTGCGCATGGTATCACTCAGCCACAAAGACAGGCAGTGTGCGTTGATTCACAAGGACAGATATCAGTGCGCATGGTATCACTCAGCCACAAAGACAGATATCAATGCGCATGGTATCACTCAGCCACAAAGATGCACGTGCCAGTGTGCGTGATAAAAAGCGCAGTATGTTATTTGAACAACCTACATGTATGACTCCTTATTTATTGTCTGTGTTCAAAATTTTATGCAAAAGTAGTTAACACGTGTTTACTTTCGAAGTTATGAATCACTGACTACCTGAATAAGGGTATTGATGTTATATTATCGCTACAGCTTCCCTAATGAAACATACAGTTGGTCTGTGCAAGTCGTATTGAGTGGGTCGTTCTATTTAAGTCACTATGAGTAAGTCGTTCTGTGTGAGTCACTGTGTGATTCACTCTGTTTGAGTCGGTCTGTGTGAGTAGCTCTGTGTGAGTCAAATTTGTGTGAGTCGCTCTGTGTGACTAAGTTCGTTAACTTTAAAACATTAGTACTTCTGTGATGGAATCGCTTGTTATATATTTACATCTCAGGTCTTGATATAATGGACAGTTTAGGATGAAGTGGAATTAGTTTTTTATATCACCGGAAGCACAGCGAGTCCATGATCTATTCTGTCGAACAACGTTGTTCCGTCTACCCACTTCAATATTTAAGTTATGAGACGACAATGAATTCCAACCCCGAAGGTCAAACACAAAGGCTACAACCAGTTTCATGTGGGATATCTGATATTCAACTAATCACGTGACAAATGGTAAATGAGCTACTATCGACGCGTTTTATATCTTACTGTTGATTTGCAACTTTTCCATTAAAAGTCCGGTTGTCTTCATTTTTAAACCGAGTTGAAAATATATTTGTAGGCGACAAAGGGGTACATACATGTAAGATAGCGGACCATAGGCAGACCAGATGTAAAATTTATATCTATACCGAAAAGAAACCGTTATCGTCGAAATACATGAACGTGCTATATACCGTTAATCAAATATAGAAAGGCGACAGTTTCTGTGGAGAAGAGTTATCAGCAGTTTTAGTTTTGTATCGGGAGGTGTAGTATTCAGGGAATTTTCTTTATTTCTACAGAGATAAACTGTTCTATTCTTCCACACCCAATACTTCATCCCCGATGTTACCAGGGTAACACATGGAATAACAACCTACCCAATACCTATCATAGGGATCAAAAGCATCTGTTGTGTCATACAATTTATCCCTGTAATATCCCCAGAGGTCAATTTAGTTGCAAAACCCGGTACTTCTCAGTCTTATGTAGAAAGTATAGTTTTACCATGCCGAGTATTTATCCCAAGTCACTTAGTCAGATAAACTTGTCTTTGTGACGTCATACACGTATCAAGCTTAGTAACTACCATCCTCGATATCCAGTGGTTACGCTCACTTTAAGCTCTTTGCAGCGAAAGTGAGCGTACCCCCCC